GCGTGGCACAGGTGGGTGAGGCGTGAGGAAGGAGACAGCCCGGGGAGAATGGGCCTGAGGTCGGTCTCTGGGGTGGGAGGTGGATTTACGGGGGGGGAGGCCACTCTCCAAGACAGAGCCCCATCGCTGACTGATGCTCTCCCTTTCAGGCTGCATCCCCACCCCTCTGCTGCCGGCCAATTTCTCCCCTTGCTGTGGACAGGCCTGACCAGCGCTGCGGCACCACCCGTGACAGAGACGGAGCAGCAGGAAGCAAGCAGGAGAGGAGGGAGGGTTCCTGTCTGCAGCAGCAGCTCCTTGCGAGCCCCAGGACGCAGGCCCACTCTGCCCCTCCTACCTGCCGGGTTCCCTGCCCCCCAGAAAGGTGCCATTCCAGCTGCAGGCGAGCAGCCTCCCCAGGGACAGATTTCAGAGGAGTCACCTGCAGCAAGCCCCAGCCGACACCTGGGGATGGAGCTCTGAGCCTGTCCGACCAGCCCCGTCCGGGGGAGAGGAAGGCACCTTGTGTGGCAGGCTGCCTGAGGCCTTTTGGGGCTGAGTGAGATAGTCTGGGGAAGCTGGGGGTGGGGAGGGGAGACCCATCTCCCCAGAATGGATTGTGTGGCCCTGCGCAGCTGCCTGGAGGGACTGGAGACAGGAGGCGCTGGGCTTGGGCTGGCTGCTCTGGGCTCTGCACTGCTCCTGCTGCGGAGGGGGAGAGTCTGCAGTGGGGCAGCTGGGCTGTGGAGACGCCTGCCTGACAGCCCCAGGGGCCCAGTATAACGAGAGCTGGACAGGGACAGGAGGAGCCCAGGACAATACCGGGGGACCCTGCGTTTCCCCAGGGTCTCTGCTTGGCTGGATCATTTCTCTTTGGCTCCCACCAGCCACCCCAGGTCTTTGCAGCAACAGGGATTGCGGCGCGGCCACGCTGCTCCTCCAGCCCGGCTCTGTGTGCAGTTAAGAGAACAGACGCCTCTGGAGCCCGGGACCCTCGTGTGGGGGCCACCCTGCTTGCTGAAGGACTGGGAAGCCAGAAGGCAAAGGTTGTGCCAGCCAGGCTGAGGAAAGGGGCCTGGGACAACGCCCTGCCACTGAGATCCCCACCTGTGTCCTGGCGCCATGGCGCGGCCGAGCTCAGGGGCACTGATTTCGGTCAGCGGCCTGGGCTTCCCACCACAGAACCTGGCCCGCGTGGTGGTGTGGGAGTGGCTGAACGAACACGGGCGCTGGCGGCCCTACACGGCAGCAACGTGCTGAAGGAGGACACCCGGGGCAGTGTGGTGCTCGGGCAGGTGGACCCCCAGCTGGCCCCATACATCATCGACTTGCAGTCCATGCACCAGTTCCGCCAGGACACAGGTAGGGAGGGGCTCCACGTGGCCTGGGGCGTGGCCGGGACAAGGGGTGGCGCTGAGGAGGTGGCTTGGCCGTCGGGTTTGAGCCCCTCAATCTCTGCTTGGGTTTCAGATTGGCCCTGCCTCTTTTCCTGGTAAAGGCGTGTGGGGCTGATCTCCCTCACGGTCCAGGAGGGCAGAGTGCGTCTGGCCCTAGCCGCGCCATGGCGCTTGCATTGAGGTGGATGACTGCCTCCAACCAGAGCTAGTGAGCTGGCTGGGACGGGGAAGCAAGCCCAGGGCACTATTCCTGGCTCTGACACCAGCCTGCTGTGAGGCTTGGGGTAAGTCCCAACCTCTCTGTGTGCCTCAGTTTCCCCCAGGATGGGAATGATGAGACCCACCCCCTGAAAAGGGCTTTGGGGTTAGCACAGGCTACATCGTGTGCTGCTGCTGGCTCTTCACAGGGATAAGTGGGAGGGGAATGTGGGTCTGTGCTGGGGGATGTGTGACTGCAGTTAGCCTGGGGGCTCCCTTGTAAGGCCTGCGGGGGCTCTCTGCACCAAGCAGGGACAGGCACGCCCAGGAAGGAGAGGAAGGAGGGTGCAATCCAGTGGTGCCTGAGCCCATGGCACCTGGCTCCAGGGGGCCTGTTTTGGGTTGAGGCAGGGAGGGACGCTGCTCGCTGGCCTGTGCTGTGTGACGTGTGGGCTGCTGTTCTGTGCAGAGCCCTGGCGGGGGGGGGCTGGGCGTTGGAGACGGCACTAGCGGCTCTGTTGCTGCGATCGCCCCTGCGGCTCCGGCTCCTCCACCCGCCTCCCCTCCTTTGCTGCAGGGGCCGCCTCTGAGGGTCTTCTCCCCACCACTCCCCAGAGGCGTGAATGAGGCCAAGTGGGCCCAGCCAGGCAGAGTGGAGCTGGAGGAAGCTCATCAGAAGGCTGCCGAGCAGGGAGCAGGCGGGGCTTCTCCAGCTGGGAGCAGTGTCGCAGGCAGCAGGGAGGAAGCCTGCAGTCCCCCTCCCTGCGGGGGCAGGGAGCAGCCCTGTGAGGAGCCAGGGTGGCGATGCACATCTCAGCTCTCCCTTGGCCTGGCACCCAGCACAGAGGGCAGGGTGCATTCTGCCTGGCGCTTTCCCCTTGCACAGTGGGCAGCACAGTGGGTACCTTGGGCTCCCAGGAGGCCCGCGCGGCACACGCTGCCTCTGGCTGTCGCCGGGGCGCTGGGCGGTTTACCGCCGGCTTCACTGCCCATTTACACAGACACCGCCCCCAGCCAGTGTGCAGCCGCTAGCACTGGCCCATCGCAGCCCTGGGACCCTCCTTACTGGCTTCCCATTGCCCTACACGTCCCCGTGGTGCAGAGGGCGGGGAGTGCAGCCAGGTCTGCGTGCAGCACCAGAAATGGGGAAGGGAAGGTTGAAATAGGACATCGTGTGGGAGGTCCCTTTAAATAACGGTGAGCTCCCCAAGAGGGCTCTCAGCTATTTGAAGGGACCCTGCCCAATTCCTGTGCACTTGGAGGGGGATGAGCCAGGACGTGAACAGAAGGCTCACAGGGGCTGGGTGGTGGTGGGTCAGCACATCTCCCAGAAAGCCTCCCTGGCTGAATTATCCAGCTCCCTTCCCTGATGGCTGGTCTCCATATGCAACCCTGCTGTGTCTCCATTGCACAAACACAACTGTCCGTGGGGGGCCCTGTCACCCTCCCAGATCCAGAGGGGCCCAGCAGGCCATCTCGCGGGGCTCTGAACAAGTGGGTGATGAGGCCTTGCTGTGGCCTGACCCTCTCCTGTCCCTGCCGGCTCCAGAGCAGTGCGCCCGGCAGTGGTGGGCCCCTCTCCCACTCACCTGCAGCACGTTGGGGGAAAGCCGGAGCAGCTGCCTGGCTGTTTGCCCCCCTTTGACCTGAGGTTCCCCTTGACGTAGGCTCGGTGCTAGGGGCAGACGGATGGGAAGGCGAATGAGAGCACAGTCAGACAGCAGGCCGGGCCATGCAGAGTGTGGGGCTGTGTGCTACCAGCTCGGCCCAGCTGATGCAGCCCCTTTTCTTAGGGAGTGTGGAGGTGGGGCAGACCATGGCTGCTCTCTACCTGCTGACGTCCTGAGTCAGGTCACACGTGCAGCGAGTTTGTCAGTGTTCTCCTAGTCTCAGCGGAAGTGAAGCCAAAGCCCAGAACAGGCCTGTTCTCACATGCCCCTTCAATCCATCGCTAGCTCTTGCCATGTCCCCATGCCCCAGGATTGCTTTAGCAGGAGCGTTGCAGGAGATCGAGGGGAGGGATTATTCGCCTTTATCCCGCACAGGGGAGGCCACATCTGGAGTACTGTGTCCAGTTCTGGCCCCCCCCATAGAAAGGATGTGGACGCAGTGGAGAGGGGCCAGTGGAGGCAACACAAATGATTCGGGGGCTGGAGACATGGCCTACGAGGAGAGACTTGTTTAGTCTGCAGAAGAGAAGAGCGAATCTCCATCCCCAGAGGTGTTGACGTGCCAGCGTGACCAAGCCCTGGCTGGGCTGATTGAGTCGGGGCTGGTCCTGCCTTGGGCAGGGGGCTGGACTCGATGACTCCTGAGGTCTCTTCCAGCTCTGGGATTCTAGGAGTCTAACCTCATTTCCTCTTTCTGAAATGACATGCTGTGACGTGGGGGAGGGGGGGTCTGCTCTGTAGCCCGGTGTCCCCACCTGACTGCGCTGGGCTGTGCGATTCCCACTGATTCACCCACATGTGGATGGGCCCAGACACCTAGTCCCAGCCTGAGCAGATAACAAGGCTCTTCCCCCCAGGGAGAGAGAAAGGAAGGGAGACGGAGATGGCACCTGGCTGGGGGGGCAGGGTCTGGGGGCGAGGCAGTTTCTGGCTGGAATCATGAAGGAGACAGACTAAGGAGGGGGGCTGGGAGTCATGGGGTCCAGGCGCCTCATCTCAAGGGGTCTGAGGCATCCTGGCCCAGACTCCTGTAGCCACGTCACATCTGTGCTGTGCTGTATCCTGGAGGAGCAATAACCCCTCTCTACTCTACTGGCTGGTGGAGTCTGTTCTCGCTGCTACGGGGCTGCAGGACTAGAGGGAACCCGATGTGCTGTCACTCCTCACACCAGCAAGACGCTTTCTGCCCCTGCAGTTCGCTCCCAGCCTGTCCCAGCACAGACCTGCCAGTGCCCCAGGGCATAACTGGCCCCTTGCTACTTGGCTGTCACTGCTGGCACCGGTTCCCATGGCAGCAGCAACACCTGGGAGTGGCAGGGGTGGGGATTAGCGAGACTCTTGGGGCACAGTGGTCCTGGGAAGTCACTGGAGCAGGCTGTCGAGGTGCTGGCTCCCATCAGCTCGTCCGAGCCGGCCGTGCCAGTGGAAGATCTCTGTGGTCTGGGAGAGGCAAAGAACAAGCCGTCTGGCTCCAGCAGCCTGTGGGATGCACGTGTAATTAATAGCAGTTTACTCAGTGGTGGCAGCCGCGTGGAGAAATCAATCGCTCCCAGCCCCGTCTGCAGAGACGGGTTCCATCCATCGCCGGCTGCCGGCAGAACGGGGGCAAACGGGATTCAAAACAAGATGTTCTGGCGCGTGCAGAATCCGGATCCAGTGGTTCCCCCACAGCTGCATCCAGGCTCCATTCATGGGCTCCTGGCCGGGACAATAGGTGCTGTTTCCGCTTCAGGGCGTTGGACACCAGATGAGCCTCTTTGCTATGCCAGTTCAACGAGGCCCCGGCTCCTGCATGGCCCAGCGCCCGCTGTACTCGCCTCCGTGCGCAGAGGCCAGGCTGAGCTGTCTTGCCAGTGGGAATGGGTGCTGGATGCATGTTTCCTCCTGCCACGCGGCCCACTGTCCTGTTCCGGACGGAGCACTGAAGGGCGGGACAGGAGGGCGGCTGAAGATCAGGCCAGAGATTTGCAGGTGGAACCATTTGACCCTGACATCTTTGCGGTCATGTGCTCCCCAGAAGCCCATTGCTAAGCTGCAGAAGGGTTCTGACCTGCAGCTGATGAGAAATGGAGGCTGGCCAGTTTCCAGGCTGTGCCCCACCTATTCCTGCATTTGTCTTGTGGGCCAGGATCTCTCTTCAGAGAGCCACAATCTGTCCAGTGCCCTGTGGATCTTCCCAGCAGGGTGGGGATCTCACTGAAGAAAGCTGATTGGGCTCCGTGTCCTCCCAGAACGCGATGGCGTCAGATCTTTGGCGTGCGGTGGAGCCATCCCCTTGGGACAGGGAACCCAGAGCTTTGGGGCAGGGCTTCTGTGACGGCGCGTCGGGGAGCCCCGACCCTGCACCGTCCACAGCAAGATGTGACTCCACCAGAGGGTTCATTGCTGCTCCAGGGTCCGATGCAGGCGGAAGAGCCCAGGCCGGCAGCCCTAGTTCCCTTGGGGGGAGGGGTTACAGGCCCCTGAACCCCCTACGCTGGTTAGTCTGCTCCCCCCTTGCTCTTCCTGCCCCTCCCCAAGCCACACCCTCCCTTTGTTCGAACCCCTTCCCTGGCACTCAGACGCAGGCCCGCAGGGGTCAGCCACAGCCCATGCCTAGCGACCAGCGACTGCCCCGCAGAGCGGGCCCGGGGCCAGTAGAGAAACACCCTGTCACCAGTGACAGCCCTGCCGGAGCAGCCAGCAAGCAGCAGCCTCGCGCACCGTCGGCCGGTTAGCTGGGCTGGGGGAGAGGCCAGCTCACCGATCCAGCGCACTCTGGCTGGCCGGGCGTGCGAGGCGCCAGTGCCCCACTGGGGCTCTCGACATTTTGTTCCCCTTCCCCATACACAGGGTTGCCAGAGGCTGTTGCTATTTGTCCACGAATGTTTTCCTCCCGGTGTCACTGAAGTGGCGCACGTGTAGCAGCAGGGCCCAGGAAGGGCGGCACGACTGTGAGAGCCGGGCGCTCCCTCTGCATCCAGCAGTCGGTGCACACGCACGCGCACTTAGCACAACTGCCCTGGAGGGCATCTTGGGTAGGGCAGTCTGGCGGACCCCGAGATACAGGAGGCCCCTAGGGGGGCCCATTCGCTATCCCAGCTCGCCTGCACTGGGT